TGGGGGAGAGAAGGCAGGTGGGGAGAGAAAAGTCTACAGGAAAGAGATCCAGCTGTGGCATCTTCAGAGGTTTGGTATATACTAGTCACCCTATAACTTCCACTTGTAGCCAAATCTGTCAATGATTAAGTCCCAGTCACCAACAAGGAGCAAAGCTTGGATGTCAGGTGGGGGACAGTTCAGCAAAACCATGGCGTGAGTAAATGACTGGAGTGATGGGAGGGCTAGAGGAAGACAGGAAAGAAGGTGAGGCTGGGAACCGTGTGGCCACTTCTTCCAATCTGGAGGCAAGTGTATCATTACAGACTCAGAAAATTCCTTTTTTTTTTTTTTCCTGCACTTGGGGAAGGGAGTCACTTGGAAGGGAGTCATCTAGCTTGTGGTATCTGTCACTTTTGATGTGCTCTTGGACCACACTCAAGACACTTGTTAACCACTACCTGAGGATCTTTACCCAGAAACTTTGCCTCTTAAGGTCATTTATTTACCCAGGAAGTCACATCTAAACCTTCACTGAAAGGGGTTCTTTCTTCCCCATCAAACGTAGGGCTAGGAGTGTGCACTATCGTATCAAGTCTCTACGGGATGTGGCAGATGGTTGGGTTTGGGGTAGATGAGAGGGCTGCTGCTGAATCATTTGCAGAACCTCTCAGTATATGAGTGCATAGACTTTCTGTTTCTCTATATAACATTCAGGGAGATATAACACATAATGCGTTTAGAAATTCTAATTCTTTCCTCAGAATTCTTTTGTCATATATTCTATTGGCCCTCCAGTCTTGGTACAACACTGCTTATTGTAAATGCTCCCTGCTATTAAGTTCCTCTGTTTCTGACCAAGGCCAGGAAACAGCCATAGAACTCTATGTGAACAAAATAGAAGATCTGGACCATTCCAGCCAGTGCCTCAAAGTCTGCCCATGAGAAATCAGATGTTACAGACAGTTGCTAGGCCTCTGGGAGCCTCCTACCAAAGCAACAATGACAGGACAACATAGGAGACACCAGGGACTGGAGAGGCCAGAGCTGGGCTGACAACAAGAGCAAGAACTTCTCTCATGTACACTTTCATCCATTCTCTTATTTTCACGTTCACCATCCACTTTACCCAGCAACCTTTCATGGCAGCTGAACTCTCCTTGCTTAATCATTGGCCAGAACCTCTAACTCAAGATTGCAAATGGCCCCTTGTTTCTGGTCCCTATGCCTGGGAACTGAGGGTCCAGCTGTGACTGGACCAGGTGTCAGTCACCAAGGCACTGCCCTTGCCCTTGGACTTGAGGATTCAGCTTCCAGCCATTCACACCACTTCCCTCTCCTGGCGCCACAGGCTAATGCTGGCTGTGCAGCTGCCAGTGTCTCAACTACCTTCACAAAAATCCCTACTGGAAAGTGGTGCTCAGTGAGTCCTGAGGAAATCACGGGGCACATCAGTGGGGTTAGCTGGGTCCTTTTCTCCCAGAAATCTCATCTCTGCCTCAGCCTCATTGCAGCAGGGCAGTCAAACTATTATTTCCTGAGCCTTAGACCACATAACAGGCCAAAGGAAAGGTTTGCCTCAAGAAGGCATCCCTGGACTCTGGCCAGTGTCCCAGAGCAGAGGGCTCTCCCAGGTAAATGAAGTCCCATCTGATGCAAGTAGAAGGGTACACTGGGGTGGGGGTCAGACCAAGATGGGCTTCAAATAATTGAGGTTATAATTTTGTACCTGTTTGAGCCCAAATGCAGGATAGGGGAATCAGCAGTAAGGAAGACACTGGGCATTGCTATTAACCCACACCTTGCGAAGTCCAAAGCCTAAATAATTTGTATTTATATTATCTTACTGAATTCTCTACCTTCTGCAGGGGCTTGACCATAGTCACCTTTAAAAGTGAAACAGACTCAGAGATACTAAGTGTTGAGCCCAAGATCACACGGTTACACACACACACACACAAGACGCAGGCTTCCAAGCTGCAGACTTCCCTCTATGCACTCTAAGAAGTGGCGGAAGCCACATTGTGCAGATGTTTGTGAGCAGAACAGAATGTTTTCACAGTTGCAGTTCTCCCAGAACAGCTGTTCATGTGACTCTGCTGCTGTCTCTCAGGGAAACATTGCAACAAGGGCCCAAAAACATCTTCGGGAACTGCGGTGATGGTGGGTTGGGCAGAAGGAGAGCTGCGAGCCTTTCTCTCCCGGTTGGAAAAGACCTGACCTGGGGGAGGAGCCCAGGCTCCTGTTCAGTTATGTGGCTCCACTGTTATTCTGGGCCTCCCCACCCGCCATGAAAGAGGACAGGGCCACAGCAGACACTCCTTAGTCCTTGTTACCCATGAAGGCTCTCTCAAATGAACTATGTGTGAAGGCTGCTCTTGGAAAGCATGTATCTGTACCTACTCCTCAGTGTGTACCTACATATACATACATGGACACAGGATATGTATTTACTATGCAAATTGTGTATGTTACACCTAGGTATATATGTGTACACATATTTTTGTGTGTGCTTCTGTGAATGGTTGTATTTTTTTTTAATTCTACAAATAGTTGAAAATGAGACAGATGGGAAACAGAAAGGTACCCTGAGTCAATACTGACTATGGGGGAGTGGGTGTGTCAGGCCGGGGGAGGGGAGAAGGTGGCTGTTCATTGTGCCTTTGTCCCCACAAGCTCCAGCACTGACCAGGGCAAGAGGGTTGTTCATTCTTGGCTTGAACTCTCAGCTGTGCTGCTACAGCCTCCACTGACACCCCTACAAGGCCAGGATACCCTAGTTCTGGTCTGGAGAACTAGTATTTATTGCCCCTGGCAAGGAGCAGAGGCACTCAGGGACCCGAGATGCCAGAGGTGGGTCACAGCCAAGGAGCAGTAGCCGCTCCTCATGCACGCTCAGCCACGTTCTCATTTTCCCTTGCCCCTCCACGTTAGCCTCCCAGCCTCTATTCACCTCTCTCAGGCATAAATCTTGAGAAGGGGACACACGGGCAACGCTTGTATGTATGGAGGACTCTCCACACTGTAGACACAGAGCAGCAGGCCATCTCCCCAGGAAGGGGCAGAGAACAATGGGGATTACAACTGAAGGGGCTCAGAGACTCCCTTTGGGAAAAGGAAGAAGTTTGGCGGTGGAAGTACAGGTGGTGACAGGACAAGGGGTGTGGTCTTGGTGCCCCCACACTGTGCACCGCATCATGGTGATGGTAACGCTGATGTCCTGTGTACTTTACCACAATAACATGTAGTCACAAAACGCAAGACTCCTCTGTGCCCAGAAGGAACTAAGGGCTCATGGTCGAGTAGTTGTTGGAGAAAGTGGGCAGCCACCTCCTCACACTCCCACGCCTGGCTGGAGCAACATCTCCTTCAGCTACTGGGGTGTCTGCAAGGAGAAAAGGCACTGTTTCTGTCTCTGTTCACCCCCTGGCAGCCCCACCCTACCCTCCCTCTGTGAACGTGACCCTGAAGCAGAAGCCCGTGTGTGAGCTGGGCCCAGTGGGGCATCTGAAGGGGCGCAGCTGGACTGGGAGGAGGAGCTCTAGGGGAAGGGCCAGGGATGGGGTACCCTGCCCATTTCATGCTCCTTTGTCCCACTCTGAGTTCTCGGAGCTGTCTGGGTGTTTACACTGAGGTTTGGGTCTCTTTGCTTGTCTGTTGTTTGTTCCCACTACGTTGAGATATTTTCAGCCATTGTATATTCAACCACATTCTGCCCTGTTGTCTCTCTCCTGTTCTCCTGGGAATTCCTCTACACCTTTATGCATTTCATGTCCCATCTCTTAGGGTTTTCTCAGGTTTCTTTTGTCCTCTTTATTCCCCCCAAAGTCCAAAGCAATTACAATTTCATTATGAAGACCTCACAGAGTAATTATGTCTCTCAGGACAGGAATTAAGCTCAGGACAGGGGCCTCTGTCCCAGGTCAGAGCAGCTGAGTTGTGAGCAGGTGGGGGGCAGGGAGACAGGTGACTCAGTGGGTAGCACCCCAATTGCTCAAGAAAAATTGTCTACAGAAAAATTGATAGCCCTGCACATGTAAGAAATCAGCAGTGGAGATTGTAAAACCCTTCATGGTTTATGTGACAAGGTTATGTGACAGGTGATCAAACCACTATCCTGATTGAAAGTCATATTCTTTCATTATTTGTTTTTTAAGCATTCTAAGCATCCCCAATATTATTTACTAGATACTTACAATCCAGTGTGTCCACATACAGTTATTTAACAAATCCCAACAGTGCTGGCACACATGTCAGCAACTCGGAGCTGCGTTCCTGGGCCTGCACCACATTTAATGAACTCAAGCGCCTCTGTCAGCCCTGCCCCTCTTCACAAACCCTTCTCTTCTGCTTTTTCCTTGCTTTTTCTCAGCTATATCCCGCTTCTACTCCATCACAATCTCTGCTCATCACCCCATCCCCAACAGTATTGTTTGGCTTAACTTACCACAAACTTGATGGATAATTAGACTCTTGATTGTGTTTTAGGAGAGATAAATGCTCAGTACTTTTGTATAGTACAGGAGAAAAAAAGAAACAAAATAAACCCCAAAACCAAAAAATGAAACACTTGGGCTATCACCAGAGAAGCTCCACAGAGTCAGATTGAGCAGATACTTGGTGTCTTAAGAAGTAGACGGTTACCCACCCCATCACAGACTCAGGCATGGGGGGGGTCACATTCAATCTCTGGAGGGTCTGACATAGGGTAAGGAGACAGCATTCAGCCTAGTAATTCCCAAGTTCCCCAGAGCCCCTTCCTCTCTTAAGAGTCACGATTTTTTCCACCCGAATGTGACCCCCCCCCACCAATGCATATGGATTGTGGTTCTTCTAAACCCTCAATACACAGACCTTTCTGTGTGAACCAAAGAGCCATGAGGGCATAGCACGTGCCTTGAGAATCAACACAAACAGGAAGTGTGTGGTCTCTGAGTCTTCCCCTCTGACTTCACCTCTACTATTTAAAACCCGAGGGGAAATTCAGGTTCCACGCAGACTTGATCACCCTTTTAAGAAAGATGCTGCTCCTCCTGTCCTTGTTGGCCAGTGTCCTGCTCTCTGGAGTTGAAGGAGGTAAGTGACCCTCTCTATTCTCAGCTCCACCTCCAACACATAGGCTTAGTCTACTTGCGACACTTTCATAGTGTCCACTGAGGCTCGTGTGAGCCTTCCTCGCTCAGTCTACTCCCAGAAACATGCTGAAACCCAGACCTCTATCTGAATACACAGGCACAGAAATCAGAGCAAAGGAAACTACTCCTGCGAGACCTGGGGTGTCATCTCCCTTCCATGGCTCTCACTCCTGTCACCTGAACAGGGACTGATTACTAGGACGGTGCAGGTGCTTGTGGAGGGGGAAGGCTGAAATTCATAAAATTTTCCTTTCTGCAAAGTTATCTATCTCTGAAGCTGTCATCTGGACCAAGAAGAGAAAACTCGCTTGGGCTAAGTGCCGCGTGTGCTCTTTCCTGCTGTCCCCGTGCTGCAGGCCACTGAGCTCCACCAGGCCAAACCCAGAACCTAAGTGAGCCATGACAGTGTGGCCCTAGTGTCCCAGGCGTTAATGGACACTGTCTCCTACCCACCCCTTCCCCATCTCACTCTGATTTCCAGTCCTATCTATTTGCCCTCTAATACCTGAGGTCAGTACGGAAGAAAGATAAAGCAGTGCTGGCTTCTATCGCCTTAAGATCACGCCTACCTACTGCTGATAAAAGCAAATTTGGACACTGTTCCTGTGTCCCCAGCAAAACTTTTTGGGATATTTCTAAGTGCCTGACTCAGGATGGGGATAAGAAAATCTGCAATTTTGCGGCACAGGGTTCAGTTGTTCAGGTCTTTGACTAGACCAAGCCTGGAATAGGCAGGACACAGGGGCCTGAGACACTGGGGGAGAGAGACTACTTTCAGGTCTTTTGAATGTTCTGCCTTGAACACAGATCCTTTCCCCCAACATGTATTTGAGGGTATCTGATTCACAATAGGGTTAAGTTCCTCTCTCTACACAAGAAACTGAGAATGAGGCAAGGAAATACACTGCTCTCGATGCTGCCCAGGAGGCCATACATTGTATCCCAGGGTGATGGGTCCCTGAAGACCTCCATGGTGGACCATCCCATTTGTTGTTTTAGGCCATCAGGCAGTTCCTGTCCTCTTTTTTTTTTCCCTCTGTGGGCAAGGAGATCCAGGGAATTTTTTTTCAGGGGAGATCTACTGCGGCACAGAGGCCAAACCACACTCCCGGCCCTATATGGCATTTGTGAGTTTCTGTGAGAAAAAAAATGGTCGTCAGTACCAATGTGGGGGTTTCCTGGTACAAGACAACTTCGTGTTGACAGCAGCTCATTGCAATGGAAGGTGAGGAGAACAAACGGAGCCTTGTTTCCTGGGACCACCTACATGGCCCCCGGCAATTCAGGAAGTTTCCTGGGCACACGGAGCACACAGAGGAGCCCTGTGTCCTGCGTGCCAGGCAGAACAAGTGTGGGGTTCCTGGAGAATCAGAGGGAGGGGGGCTACCGAAGCACTATCACAGCCTGGATCACCTCTGCACAGCAAGGAAGGGGAACACCCACCCTCCCCTCTTTCCAGTCTACTCAGCTGGGGGTCTAGAGGCTGCGCTTCAACCTGCCCTCCAGAGACTGTGCTGAAGCTCCTGACTTCACATCCTCCTTGTTTTACAGCGAAATGACTGTCACACTGGGAGCTCACAATATCAGAAAGAGGGAAAACACCTGGCAGGTCATCCCTGTGATCCAAACCTTCCCCCACAAGGACTATAATAAGAAGAAAGGTATCAATGACATCATGCTGTTGAAGGTACCGTCTTGCTGACTTGCAGGGGCAACTGCACAAGTCACAGGGGCGAGCACCCCACCATGGGTATGAGTTCCCACCTCCCTCCAACTGGATACTCGTCCCGGGTCAGTGGATTAGAGGGGGCTCTGGAGACTCTGTGAGGTGCGGGTGGAAGGTGGGTACAGAAGCCTCCCCACAGGCTGAGCCAGCTGGAGGCCAGAACCTGAACTGCTTCCTCTCTCTCTCTCTGACCAGCTGGAAAACAAGGCACAATTGAACCGGAACGTGCAGATCATTCCCCTGCCAAGTCATCAGGACATGGTGGAGCCGGTGCAGGTGTGCAGCGTGGCGGGCTGGGGAAAAATGGCTGATGGAAAACTTTCAGACACACTTCAGGAGGTGGATCTACAAGTGCAAGAGGAGAAGATGTGCAAGAAAAACTTCCAGCCAAAGTTCAACAGCTCCATCCAGCTGTGTGTGGGAAACCCTAAGTCCAAGAAGGCCACTGGACCTGTAAGGAGACAATCCCCTTCCCAGTCTTGCCCCAGGGTGTCTGTGACATTGGGGTGCATGACCAGGCTTCTCCCATATCACAGTGTACAGTGGCCATGCTCCACTCATGGGTGGAGGCACATTCTTCCCAGCACGGGGGCAGGTAATCCCTCCATCAGCCTCTGGGCCTTTGTCCTGGGCCAACAAGAAGGACCCTGGGCCTGGGCTGAGCTGAGGGGGACACAGCCAGCATCGGCAATGGTGGGGGGAGTCACACAGGCCTGGATGCTGCTCATCCCCCTCCAATCAAGGCCTTGTGTCTGATGACCATTCAGTCCCTTCCCTGGGACACCTTAGCCCTGAGAGTGAGGCAGAAAGGACTGGGGGGATGATGAGGCTGAGAGGAAGGAAGCAAAAGGGCCGTGGCTGAGATTTGTCCTTTTCCTTTCCACAGGGGGACTCTGGGGGCCCACTGGTGTGTAAAGGTGTGGCCCAGGGCATTGTCAGCTATGCCTACAAACGGCCTCCCCGGGTCTTCACCAGGATCTCCAGCTTCATGCCCTGGATCCACAGAACAATGAAACTCGCGGCTTAGACCTTTGTCACTTGTTTGGGGGGGGGGGCACAGTACCTACCTGTGGGAGCCTCTCTTTGGCCATCTCCCAGTGGGAGGGTCTGTGTTCTCTCTCGTCCTTGAATATTTCTCTCGACACTAGTTGTGCACCAGGTTCCCCTCTACCCTCTTTTCTCTCCCCTTGCCCACCCCAAATCCCAATAGCTTTTTCTTCAAGGTAATAAAGCAAACATTACTGAAATGTGTATGGTACCACAAAGACCCCGAGTAACCAAAGCAATTGTGAGAAAAACGAAGAATGGAGGTGTTATGCTTCCAGACTTCAAACTACTATTGATACAGATTGTATTGTCTGTATATTTCTTCTTTTCTTCCATAAAGGAATGTTTGTTGTATAAGGAAAGGAAAGGACAATTGCACAGACAGAAGCAGGCAGGAAGAGCTGCCCCTGAAAGGGACAGGTTAAAAGAGAGGTCTGCATAGTCACTGGTGGGCGGAAGAGCTGCCAAGTTTGTATATTTCTTTTTAAGACAGCCACTTTAACAGTGTCAATTGATTTAATTCATGTCTAAAGGACATCCTTCCTTTTTTGTATTTTCTTTTCTTTTTTTTTTTTTGGTGGGACCCTCGCCGGCTGCCGGGGAACGAACTGGTGCTGCAGAGGCTGTGGGCAGCCTCGCAGCCCAGCGCTCAACCGCTGCGCCACCAGGGGAGGCCCTGTATTTTCTTTTTTAATTTTAATAGCGTCTTATAGTTTTCATTGTACAGGTCTTTGACCTCTTTGGATAAGTTTATTCTTAGGTACTTATTTCTTTTATATATATATATTTTTTTAAATATTTAATTTTTAAGTCCCTTTTTTTTTAAAGATTTATTTTTATTTATTTATACAAGCACTGGGTACAGTCAGAAGCGCGGGAGGGCGAGAGAATTCATCAGAGCCAGAGCGGGGAACAAAGCAGGCAGACTGAAGTACACTGCTGAGGGGAGCAGCGGGCGGCAGGAGAGGTCTGTGCGCCATGTGGGACCCTCCTCCAGTGGCCGGGGAGCAGCCGGGGATTGAACGGGCACTGCAGAGGCTGCAGGCAGCTTCGCAACCTAGCGCTCAACCGCTGCGCCACCGGGGAGGCCCATCTTTTATATATATTTTTAATTAAACATTTTTTTAGCTTCCACCAATGCCCACACCCATCTGCCTCCCTCCGCCACTCCTCCAAAAAGTCTGGGGGATGAGATATGTTCAGAACTCATTCGGATTAGTCAATAACCACAAACTTACAATTAGCAGCTATAACCACAGGTTACCTCGGTAGGGTTTACTGAGTTGAAAGAACCATTGACTCTTTACAGTTACTGTAGCCACAATGAGAAGTTCATGAGCAGAAGACCACTGTGGGTCTTGGGTCACAGACAGAGATGCTATTTCCTGCACTTTCAGAGCTGATGGGGAAGCCACAGCACAAGCATACCAGAGAAAATCTCTTGGAGAAGGAGTTTCATGCAATCCAGATAGAGATGGAGTTCTAGTCTGGACTGTTCTTCCTTCCAAGCCATGTAGTGCTTTCCCCATGAGAGGCTCTCAATGGGCTCTGGGGATGCGCTGGTGAGCAGTGAAACTGAACACGTTGCTACTCTTGAGCAGTGAGACCCTCATCAGCCTCATAAACACACACTGCATGGTTATGGATGGTGGCGAGTTGTCTGAGGGAAGGATGGTAGCCCAAGACAGGTGAGGCTACTTCTTCTGGGGCTGAGGAAAGAGCTTCCTGAGGAAGGACTATTTGCTAGTCACACATTAAATGAATAAAGAGGAAAAGAGTTCTCTGATGTTCTAGGAATTGTCTTCAAGCAGTGAAGAATGCAGCTGAAAAATTAATTTTTATTCAGAAAATCTGTGGAACTCAGAAACAATATGGAGAAATGGAGAAATTGGAGTCTTTGCAAATTTAAATCATCTGTCTAAATGACCAAAGCCACCATACGAGTGAAAACAACAAGTTTGGGGTGGGAGATGGTATTTACAATTATCTACTGAAAAAGATTAATTTAGATTATATCAAAACTCTTGAAAATCATTAAGAAAAACAACTCAAATGTAACTGCAAGGGGTATGATGATTCACAGAAGAGTAAGATCAAATGTCTAGTAAATATTTGAAAAGTTAATGAACCTCACCACATGTCAGGGAAGCGGTCATAGAAACCACTATGATTTACCATTTCACACCTAATAGACAACAGAAACATGAAGCCTTAGGACCCTGGGTACTGTTGGGGTGTAGGGTAAGGTAAAAAGTCAGGCTTTTCTGCCCTCCTGCCATCAGGATAGATGAGGGAACCCTGTGATCCTGAATACATGCCTGATGGCGGGCACCTGAAGTGGGTACACCTGTGCTAAGACTGTGCTTTTAAGGGTGGTGTCATGGGGACGCCAGAAGAAGCTGAAAGAGAAGAAGCCTGAAGCAGAAGCAGAGAACGCTAGAGAGCCCAGATAGAGTGAGAATTTGCTGGGGGCTGGGAGGACTGCCAGCCTCCCAGCCCTCTAGCACCCCTGCCTGCCATATGCCTGGTGAACCCCAATAAAAGACCTGCAAAAAACCACTGAGGACTCTGACTCCTCCTTTACCCGGTCTGCATGGGATCAGAAAACCTGCACTGTGTCCTGTTCCTGACCTTACAATTGGCGTAGTCAGCAGGATGATCCATGCAGACGGGTATGGAGCCCTCCGAAGACCTGGAGGGACTAAGGAGTAAAAGACTGCAGGTGACGACGCTGGAGGCGTCATGGCGATCCAGGAGATGGACAAGGTCCAGGATCTACAGGACAAGACCACATCTGGAGAAGGAGATGCCCAAGAGGACCAGCCAGTGACACCCGAAAGGACCAGCCAACAACCCCTGAGGCAGCAAGAATAGTTGGGAAGACAGGGCCACGATTCAGAGCTCGCCGGTGCTGATAGCAGGGAGAGGCCTAATGGACTTGAACTAATGGAGTTGGACTGACAATCCCGCCAGAAGGTGGAGGATCTTGCAGGTTGATATGTTTTGGGACCCTGGGGGTGGAACAGTTTTGTTTGTAAACCCCAGGAGATGGGAATCTGGGGGTGGCCAGTGGGCCTTGCTGGCCAAAAGCAGCCTGTGTATGCCCAGCAGCCAGACAGAGGAGAAAAGCCAACTGAGAAGGCAAAAGCTGGTGCTGATGTAAGTTTGGGAAGCCCTGAGCAGCTGTTAAGCAGCCTGAGTATGCTGAAGACCAGTGAGTCTCGTAAAATCACCTGTGGGTGATGCCCTGCTCTTTGACGAGTGAGGGTGAGGAGCTGAGTATCCGTCCTTGGGGGACGGGTGGGGAACGTGGCTTGGGGTGGAGCCCAAGCCAAATGTGGAGTTTGGATCCCCGACCCATGTGCTTGTGCAGTGGGTTGGCCTGAGTGCAGGGGTCTGCGAGTCGCATTGGTGGCTATGAAAGCCGAGTGTTGGAGCGACTGCAGATAGAAACCCTGAGGGTTGGCAATTACCCCCAACAGAATAGATTCACCAATCCCAGAGTGAGTGCATCCTGGGGGTGGATGCAGTGTGTGGCTTGTAGCCGAGACTACAGCCAGAGAAGGCCAGGAAGCCTGACGGCTCCTGGTGTGTTACAGTAGATGCCGTGAGTGATTCCCCTCCCTCGTATGAGCAGTGCCTTCGGCAGCAGATTTGGTGGTTCATCTGCTGGTACCAATAATTGTCTTTTGCACTAGGTTGGGGCCCTGCCTGGACTTATTTGTGTTCTGTTGTATTTTGTTATATTGTGATGTACTTGCTTTTGTGCACCATGGCTGCATTGTTTGTGTTTGCTAAGAAACAAAGTTGTGTATGTGTGGATTATATGGCAGAAAACCCTGAGGGGGTGGACTGTAGGGTAAGGTAAAAATCAGGCTTTTCTGACCTCCTGCCATCAGGATAGATGAGGGAACCCTGTGATCCTGAATGCATGCCTGATGGCGGGCACCTGAAGTGGGTACACCTGTGCTAAGACTGTGCTTTTAAGGGTGGTGTCACGGGGACGCCAGAAGAAGCCGAAAGAGAAGAAGCCTGAAGCAGAAGCAGAGAACGCCAGAGAGCCCAGATAGAGTGAAGATTTGCTGGGGGCTGGGAGGCTGGCAGTCCTGCCTCCCAGCACCCCTGCCTGCCACGTACCCGCTGAACCCCAATAAAAACCTGCAAAACCACTGAGGACTCTGACTCCTCCTTTACCCGGTCTGCTGGATCAGGAAAACCTGCTCAGTGGTCCAGTCCTGCCCTTTACATGGGGGCATTAATCAGAACAGTGAATTGTGCAGGATGGAGCAATCCCACAGGCAAGATACGGGACACGCACCGAAGGGCCTCAAACAACGTCACTGCCTTTTGTTAGAATGTTGACGAGAAAAAAAATTGATTCCCAGGGCACGGGCCCTGCGTGTGTGCAGTTTGCAACGTCTCCCTGTTACAGGGAGGTTTCTCTCCATGCACCCGGCTTCCGCCCACATCCCCCAAATGTGCACCTAGGTTCCTGGTGTGTCTAAATGAACTCAGTCTTGGGGGGGTGGGGTGTGAGTGCACCCTAATGGGAGGGCATTCTGCCCAGGGCTGGCCCCCACTTTATGTGCTGAGCTGCCCAGGGCACAAACACGAGTAGGAGTCAGAGGAGAGAGGAGGATTTTTCCTTTTCATGCTTCAAACCTAAATTTCACACTAAGTAAACACATTTCTTAAAAAAAATATATAACTACTCTTTTAAAATGTTGAATAAGGAGAAGGTTGCAGAGAGCTGGTGTAGGTCTAACCAGTTTTTAAAAGTTTCAAATAGACAAAATGAAGACCCACTAGCTTACTTCTCCCTTCATTGTTTCTCCAACTCAGATGGCTCATTATTTGTTTCAGTCCAGACTGAATTTCCCAGGATTTCCAAACCTGAGCTACTGTGCTGACTGGCACAAGCTTCTGACAGTAGAGACAATAGGGGAAGAAAAAAACAGCAAGGAGCAGTGAGCTCACAGC